TATTTGTCCTTCTCCGGAAGGCAGGAAACAAAGTCACCATTGACCATACCAAATTACAAAAACAGGAAATTTTACCAATCAAGTGCCAAGGAGCACTGGGACCCATCTCCTTGCCAGATGAGCTTCATCTTCTTCTTTTCTTCTTCTCCTTGTTCCTTCTCTCAAACTTAGTGGTTGGAAGAAATGTCTGGTTCAGTGGGGAGAAAAGAGATGATGGTTCTGTTTCTAATCTTGAGGTCAGTGTTCTGTGTCATGACCTGTCATACACACCCGAGTTTCCACATGGATTACAAAATTGTTGTCTCTCCCCACACTGCCTTTATTAGTTTTGTGTTGTGCTTTTGTACTGGGTTGGTTTTTGGTTTTGTTTTGTTAATTCTTCTTATTTGTTTTTATAGAGAAAAAATCCCACAGTGGAAAAAGCACAGCCCACTGAGACCTAACTGTGGAGGATATTCACTATCACTATTTCTGTCTGATTTTGGTATTAGGGTAATAGTGGTGTCATAGAGTGAGTTAAGAAGTATTCCTTCCACTTTTATCCTTTCAAAGAGATTGTAGATAATTGGATAATTTCTTCCTTAAATTCTCTGTAGATTCTGGTTATTAGCCCATTATTGGATGTATAACATGCAAATATTTTCTCCCATTCTGTAGGCTGTCTATTCACTTTATTGATTGTTTCCTTGGTGGTACAGAAGCTTTTTAATTTGATCAGGTCCCATTTATTTATTTTTGTTGTAGCTGTGATTGCTTTGGGGGTCTTCTTCACAAATTATTTGCCTAGGCTAATATCTAGAAGAGTTTTTTTCAAACATTTTCTTCTGGAATTCTATCCATTGTGAATTAATTTTTGTGAGTGGTGAAAGATGTAGATCCTGTTTCAGTCTTCTACATGTGGCTATCCAATTTTCCCAGCATCATTTATTGTATAAGGATTCTTTTTCCCAGTGTATGGTTTTGTCTGCTTTGTCAAAGATCATATGGCTATACAAGGTTGGCTTTATATCTCAGTTCTCTGTTCTGATCCATTGGTCTGTGTCTCTGTTCTTGTGCTAGTACCATGCTGTTTTGGTTGCTATAGCCTTGTATTATAGTATAGCTTGAAGTCTGGTAAACAGATGCCTCTTGATTTGTTCTTTTTACATAAAGTTGCTTTGGCTATACAGGGTCTTTTGGTTCCATACAAAGCATAGAAATTATTTTTTTAATATCTGCAAAACATGACATTGGCATTTCAATGGGAATTACATTGTATCTGTAGATTATTTTGGGTAGTATAGACATTTTAACAATGTTGATTCTGCCGATCCATAAGCACTATATGTTTTTCCATTTGTTTATATCCTCTGCCATTTCCTTCCTTAGTATTTTGTAGTTCTCCCTGTAGAGGTCTTTCACCTTCTTAGTTAAATATATTTCTAGGTATTTTGTTTTCTTTGTTGCTATTGTGAAAGGTATTGGAGTCTTTGATTTGATTCTCAACTTGACTGTTGTTGGCATGTAGGAATGTTATTGATTTGTGTACATTGATTTTGTAACCTGAGACTTTGCTGAGTTTATTTATCAATTCCAGGAGTCTCATGGTTGAATCTTTGGGGTTTTGTAGACAAATAAGATTGTATCATTAGCAGAGAAGTTTGATCTCTTCTTTCACCATTTGGATACACTTGATTTCCTTCTTTTGCCTGATTTCTCTGGCTAGGACTTCCAGCATTATGTTAAATAAAAGTAGTGACAGTGGGCAACCTTTTCTCGTTCCAGTTCTAAGCAGGAATGCTCTCAATTTTTCCTCATTCAGTATAATGTTGGTGTGGTTTTGTAATATATGGCTTTTATAGTTTTGAGGTATGTTCCATCTATGCCTATTTTGTTAAGAGTTCTTATTATAAAAGGGTGCTGAGCTTTGTCAAATGCTTTTTTGTGTCTACTGAGAGGATCATACGGTCTTTGTTTTTCCTTCTATTTATGTGGTGAATCACATTTATAGATTTGTGTGTATTGAACCATCCTTGCATCTCTGGGATGAAGCTTACCTGGTTGTGGTGGATTATTTTTTTTTTTGATGTGAAGCTGAATTTGGTTTGCTATGATTTTTTTAAAAGAATTTTTTGTATCTATATTCATAAGGGATATAGTTCTATAGTTTTCTTTTTTTGTTGCATCCTTCCCTGGCTTTGGTATCAAGGTGATATTGGTTTCATAGAATGAGTTGGGGAGGATTCCTTCCTCCTCTATGTTATGAAATAATTTCTGCAGGATAGGTACCATTTCTTCTTTGTAGGTCTGTAAAATTTGACTGTGAAACCATCCGGTCTGGGACTTCTTTTGGTTGGGAGATATTTTTATTGCTGCTTCAATTTCGTTATTTGATATTAGTCTGTTCAGGAGTTCTGTTTCTTCCTGATTGAGTCTACTAAGATTGTATGTTTTCAAGAATTTGTCCATTTCCCCAACATTTTCAATTTATGTACATAAAGATTTTTATAGCCATTCAGAGATGATATTTTGTATTTCCCTGGTATCAATTGTAATATGTCCTTTTTCATTTGTGATTGAGCTATTAGGGTCCTTTGTTTTTTATTTTTGGTTAATCTAGTGAGAGGCCTGTTGATTTTGTTCATCTTTTCAAAGAACCAACTTTTTGGTTCATGAATCTTCTGTAAAATTCTTTTGACATCAATTTTTAGTTTTGTTCTGGCCTTAGTTTTGTTTCTTTTCTTCTGCTGGGTTTGGGATTGGTTTGCCCTTCCTTTTACAATTCTTTGAGATAATTCATTAGATCATTGATTTGTGATTTTTCTGTCTTTTAGATGTAGGCATTTAAGGCTATAAACTTTCCTCTTAGGACTGCTTTTGCTGAATCCCACAGATTTTGATAACTTGTCACCTCTTTGTCATTTAGTTCAAAGAATCTTTTGATTTCCATCTTAGCATTCTCCTTGACCCAATAATCATTCAGCTGTAGGTTGTTTAATTTCTATGACTGTGTAGAGTTGAATGTTTATGTTGGAATTGATTTCTAATTTTATTCTGCTGTGATCTGAGATGATACACAGTATAATTTCTATATTTTAAAATTTGCTGAGACATATTTTGTGGCCTAGGATGTGATCAGTCTTAGAGAATGTTCTGTGAGCTGATGAGAAGAATATATATTCAGTAATTGTGGAGTAGAATGTTCTGTAAATGTGTGTTAGGCCAGGTGTTCTGGAGTCTTGTTTACGTCCATTGTTTCTTTGTTTATTTTTTGCTTGGAGGATCTGTTCTATTCTGTCAGTGGGGCGTTGAAGTTCACAGCTATTCCAATGTTGCTGTTCTCATTTTGTTTAGATCAAGTAGGGTTTGCTTTATGAATCTGGGTGCATCTGTGTTAGGTGCATAAATATTTAGGATTGTTATGTGCTCTTATTGAGTCCTGTGTTTCCTGGAGACAGCAGATACTTGGCTTACACTTTCTTAATCATTTAGCCAGCCTGTGTCTCTTCATTGGGGAATTCAAACCATTTACACTTATTGAAAGAATTGATAAGTGAGGTGGATTTCTGTTCATCCTGTTGTGTAGCCTTTCTCTCTCTCTTTTTTTATTCCCTTTATTTGTTGGAGAAACCAGATTATTCGCCTTGTAGAATGTCCCACATGCTGGGTTTGGTTGATTGCTTCCTTGTGGTAACATTTAACTTGTGCTTCTTTTCTTGTACTTTCTATAAATTGATAGTTAGATCAAGAGGCCTGATTCTTTTCTGGCTCAATCTTTCTTTTCTGGCAAGAACACTTCATAATTGGTGCTACATGCTTCCTAACACATCTCTTTGGGAGAGATATAGCATGTGATTGTCCTAGTTTTAGTAAGGTTAAGATGATTTAGCTTGGTACGTTGTTTGTAAAGTTTCTCATCAGCCTTTCACTTAGTGGTTTTTGCAACTGTTGATGCTCTTCCCTAGAAGTCAAACAATGGAAATTTTCTAATTCAATTTTTCTTGCTTTTATTAGTTGGAATTCTTTAATATGGATGAATTTTCCATCATGAATTATTTGGTTATCCTGAAATATAATTTGAAAAGAAAAAGCAGGATACATTCTTCAGTCTTTCCTATTATTTATCAACTTTCAGAACAATATATTGAGGCCCTGGCAACTTCCACTGGTGGTTGATCAGTGAGTTATTCTCTATTTTTTGAGGGAGGGAAGGGAGGGAAGGGAGTAGAAGGAACATCATATCAACTCATTAGAAACCCATGGGCTTTATAGATTTGATATATTTGAATCAGTCGAAGTCATTTTTTTGATATTCAAATTGTCCCATCTTTGGCAAGTTGAGATGCCTTCTAATTTACTTGTGTGTCTCTTTGACATTAGTAGTCTGAGCCGTGAACTTCAGGCAGCAGTTTCTTCCTCTTTAAGTAATTAGATTAGTTTGTCTTTACAATTCCTTTTAGTTGTCACTTCCCTTCGAGAGAAAAGATGCTTATGCTAATATTCTACGATTACATCTCTTATGCTGAAAGTCTATTATTTAATATTTTGATCTTGTTTTTCTCTTGCAGGGGTGGGGAACCTGCAGCCTTGGGGCCACATGTGGCCTTCTGGATCCTTGAGTGTGGCCTTTGACCAAATCCAAATTTTACAGAATACATCCTTTTAATACAGGGACTTGAAATGCACAGTGGGCGAGTTAATACATTTGGAAATATGACATGTTTTTATTTCTCTCTCTCTCTCTCATCTTTTAGCTCCTAGTTATGTGAAACTGGCTCAGGAGAAAGAAGTCCATACTCTAAGTTCCATATCTAGGTAGAAAACAAAACAAAACAAACAATACAAACATTTTAATACTTAAAGCTGTAAAGAGGCCTATCAAGAAGTATCTGATTTTGAAGATAGATTCGTTCTGAAATATACCAGCAATGTAGTTGTTGCTATTCCAAATGTGATATTTTTCTTCCTTTCTGTGTGGGGTACCAGGCATGAAGGATGGACAGCTGCACTTCATCCCATAGGCCTGGGAAGGCAGAATGGTGAGCTGAGGAGGGCCTGAGGCCTCCCAGGGAGCTGGACAAGGGAGGCCAGAAGGCTGTAATGCCAGCCATTGCTTGCCAGGTGGTTGGAGAGAGTCAGTCTCAGTCCCTGCACATCGTCCATCCAGGCAGCACCTGAACCTGATCCAGGCAATTGGGCCAAGTCCCTGAGGCTGTCTCTGGGACCAGAAGGTATAACCAGAGGGAAGCATGGATTTAAATTGCAGGGCATAAAAGAAAAGTTCAACATATCTAAGAAGAAGCTGAAAATGACTTTTTGCAAATGCTTGAAGGACACTGCCTCATACCAAACCATACACAATAAAATGTTAAAAGAGCCTGAGTTTTGTTTCTGTCTGTGCCCTGTGGAGCACATGTGACTTCAAAGGCAACTCTGTCGGGTGCAGGGAGGAAAGAACTCGCTTTTATTTCCAGTTCTGGCACAGATCCATCAAACTATTTTTGGTGGCTCAGAAACGAAACTTACATTCCTTCTAAATTCATTTGCATTTAGCACGTCCACCTTTGTGTTTCTACAGTGACAGCTTCTGCTTCTTCGTCCTGTGCTTTGCCCTTACAGTGAGGCTTCATTTTGCAGAAAAATGGTAAGAATGATGCTAGATGATTTCAAGGGAAGGCTCAAACAGCCCAGTTCATTAAGCGCTCCCTTCCCTAACTTCCCCTTTCTTCCCACCATAATAAGTGTCTTCAGAGTTTAAAACAGTTGTTTGTAAGACTGTTTAAAATATGAAACATCCTTTTACTAGGAGTCTTACTAAGGAGTTCCTGGTTTCATTTCAATGTGATGGGACCCCTTGGTGCTGAGTGAGTGCAGCTTCAACCTGATGCTTCGACCTAGAGCACGTGCACACTGGCTGTGTGTGTGTGTGTGTGTGTGAGCTTCTGTAGATTCTGGGATTCCATTCATCATAAAAATCGGAGATGTCAGTGTGTCTTTCAGTGACACCATCTGTCCTTTGCCAACACAGGGGTGTTCCTTGTGGCTTGTTTTTGAGATAAGTTTCTTTGTGGCCTGTCTTTGTCCTGTCTTGTTCCATGACTCCTCCACACTGCTGTTCGGTGGAGACTGATTCAGGCTATGCTGTTTTTATTTCTTTTGGCCTGCTTATTTCTGATCATTTTTGTTACTGTTTTCCAAACTCTATGTTCCCTGCTCTGTTTGAAACTTTGAATCCCAATGTGGTTGGGTGGTGGATTCTGCTTCACTTGTTAAAGAGTGATCCTAATGAGCTGGAAGTGGTTGGTTTTATTGCCTGAAGGGTCTTTTGACAGCTCGGGGAGAAACTGCCACTCTATATGAACTTATCACCCCTACTAGGGACAAAAGACCCAGGTCTGATTATTATGGGTCAGTAAATGAAGGATACGATATCATGAGCTTCAGTGTCTTTGCATTAATAACTCACAACTCATGGATCTTTTCCCTAATCTTTGTTAGTGATGTTGCTTTAAATTATAAAGAACAGCAAAATAGTACTCGTAACAGTTATATCAATATGTGAAAAGCTTTACCCCCCACCCCCCTTCATGTTTTATCAAAATAGGACCTTCCCTGAAGGGTTGGGTTATGGGTACAGTGGATTTATATTGGTCTAGTATGCAATATTATGGTCTAGATGCATTTATCCATGACCAAGTATATAAAGTATAATATGAAACTCTACAAATACCAAGAGGTATTTAAATCACTTGCAAATATTGTCTACTTTCTGTATGCATAAAATTGCATAGATTGGTGCTAGTTAACACACACATGTATATCACATCACAGGTGGGGATTTCCCTTGAAGAGCTTACTAGTATATTCTAGTAGAGGAAAAATTTAAAAAAAGAACTTATGTAAAATATTTACTAGATAGCATAAGAAAACTAAACCTAAATATTAAATTGGTTGGAGATGTACCATATATTTCCAACCAATTGAGGATTATATATATATGTGTGTATATATCTGTATCTGTATATGTGTTAGAGATTTATATATATATTGGTTGGAGGTTATATAGTTATCAGAATTCAGAGATGGGTGACTATAGACTAGATGAAGTTAGAGATGTCTATTCATATTTGAAGGAGAAGGAAGAATTTGGATAATTTGGGTGGGAGTGGGATAGCAAGGAGGGGGGAACAGGAGAGTTCCAGGCATGAGAAATGACATGAGTAAATTAAAAAAGAGGGTGGTGAGGATTCATGGGATGGCCAGGAGGACTTGAGCTCAGTCAGGGCTCTTGTGACACAGAAAATTTAGTGAGCTTTTTACTAATACTGTCAGTGTATGAATAAAGTTGATGATAAAGAACATTAAGAATATGCAGTTTTCTCTATAGATATGGATCAAGTAGCAATTATCCTCAAATGATATCATTGCTAGTTTAATTTAAGTAGTTTAGACTATCTGCCAAAGTTGAAAGAAAATTATAAGATTACAAGTACGTGTATTCTCAAATACATTATGGTGCCCCCAAATGACACAAGGTACAAATTTACCTTTGACTTTGCACAGCAAGATTTAAATACTGTAAGATCTAGAGGACTGACTTTGCACAGCAAGATCTAAATACTGTAAGATCTAGAAGAGTGAGGACCTTGCGTGCCTCCCAAGAGGTCCATCTTAGCACAGTGCCTTGAACTTGGTGAATTTTTAATAGTTGCATGAATTTAATATAAAGACAACCTTCAGTGTTGACCTCAAAGAGATACTAAAAATGACACTCCAGGATACCCACAGAAGGTGGTCTCATTGTCCAGGGAAGGTGTTAAGCACTGATAAAGTCCCAATTGCATCGAGTATTTTCTATGACCCCAGTAACCTAGGAGAAGGTATGTAAACCTTGATTCTTGATCCTATAGAACTTACTAGGAAGATGAAAGTATTCACTGAGGGAAAATTAGAAAATAAAGACATATATAAGGCAGAAATACTTGAAGGGAGTACAGGTGGGTGTCTTTGCTGTTGCTTTTTCTCTGATTTATCTTTTTGTTAGGAAATTAATCTGTTATATTTTCAATTGTGATCTCTACTGATGACTCAAGTTAATATCTGTTCTGGATTTCATATCCAGACCCTGAGCAGTTTCTATCATCTCAAACTTCAGGTCTCTAAATCCAAACTCTGTCTTTCCTAATCAGATTAAATCTCCTTTTCTTTTCTGTCTAGTATAATAATAGCTGCACCCTTGTGCTAATCACCTAGGCTCAAATTCATTGACTATTTCTGCATATCCATATGTCCTTATGTTTATCAGTTTACATGGCTGCTCTTTTCTGGATTATGAGTAGATCAAGAGAATAGAAAATAGTTTTAATCATTGATTTTGGCTTTCTCTATGGTATCTTGGAAGGCATAAGGTTAAGCACCTAAAAATGACATCCAAAGAGTGGCACCATTGGCAAGCTGTTCATGGATTACACCACGATTGTTGAATTAAACTAAAATATTCCTTTGACTTTATTAGCCAGCATTTTTGGTAGAATGGAAATAAGGGGTAAAGACTGAACCTTGGAAGCACTGGGTTTGGTGTTATCTTGGAAGCACTGGGTTTGGTGTTACCATGGCATTAAAGGGATCAATCCCTAGACAATTAGCCTAAATTTATAAAGTTACATAGTTATAAAGGAATGGAGAGAAATACCGTTTCCTTCTTTGAACTGAAGCAATGTGAGATAAAGAATGAAAGGGTATAATTTTGGGGTGCTTGATCTATACCATTAAAAATAGTTTCAGAGCCAAACATACTTTAGAAACGATCTCTTGGGTTTTTCAGCGAGGTCCAATTTTCTAAGTCTGATGTTTTCAGAGATCATCCCTCTACTTTAGGGAGGAAGTTAGAGGTTATTGTATGAAGCTTGAAAATGCAGTTCCTTTAGATCCTGTGCCAGTATCCCATCATCATCTTGGAACAAAGAACATGGTAAACATCTACAGCACACACTGGGATGGAAGAATCCCTTTGAACCGGGTCTGCCATAGAGAAAATGTCTTCATAGCGGCAAATGCAAAACTGTGTGTATCTAGCACCGACTTCAGACTTCACTGGGGTGTATGCCCTTCCACTGCAGAGCTTAGTTCTCTCCAGGGAGCTTCTTTACTCTAACCCTCTCACATAGATGGTCCTGTGTGTTTTTTTGCTGTCATAAAATAGTTTTGAGGAGTGCCAATTAATAAACGTAGAAGGATGATGGGAGAGAAGATTGCTATTTTATAACCACCATAGTAATTAATAAGTGATGTAGGTGAGAAGGATTAGAAGATACTAAAATCAGTGAGTGAAAGATTGTTGGGGAACAGAGTATTCTTAGAGTGTCACCCCTTAATCACAAAGATAAAAGTCACCTTCACCATGGAGAACACCTTAAACAAGTGATTAAATTGAAACAATTAAACATCACCAATAGAGGAACAAATGGGTGTCATGTACCCTCTGAGTGCCCATCTACTTAGACAGCATTCCTGCCCACAATGTGTCACCCAAATTGAATCATGAAGATATAATTGGATACATCCAAAAATGAGACCTTATACTCTTAAAAATGTCAGTTATTATAGATCAAAAAGCTGGGGGGAACTGTTTTTTTGTTTAAAAGAGAGTAAAGAGATGTTACTTCTAAATGTAGTGTGTGTTCCCAATTTCATCCTGGATCAGGGAAACAGCTACAAGGACATTGATTGGATCATTTGAGGAAATTTGCAAATGGACTATATAATAGATAATGACATCATGTCAATGTTTAATTTCTTGAGTGTGATATGTCATATGAGTGTGCATATGTCAGAGGATGTTTTTGTTCTTAGGACATTCATTTTGAAGTATTTATGACCCAGTTACCATGATGCTTGCTACTAACTTTCATATCTATATACATCTAAATTATATAAAAACACATTATATATAACATTTATTTACATGTGATATATAATAAATATTAATATTATAAATAATTCAAATGTAATGAATATATATTTGTTTTATACACATATATGTATGACAGATTTTTGTTCATGTATAAAGAAAATATGGCAAAATGTTGACAATTGGTGAACCTAGATGAAGGTCATCTTCCTTACACTATTTTTGAAGCTGTTCCGAAGGTTTGAAATTTCTCAAAATAAAATGTTGGGAAAAAAGAACTTTTCTTTTAGGGATGAGGTAGTGGAGAAAATTCAGGTTCATGAGAAATGACATGTTATCACTGTCTGAATTCAGTAAAGGTATATGACACAGTCCATTAAACGTAACTATTCACAAATATAAACTGTTAAAGAGATGGATTTAGATAGTCTAGCATTAACTATTTTTGGAGAAGAGAAAGGATTGCTCTCTGGCATCTGAGTCTTTCTTTTCTTTTGTTTCCACAATATTAACCTTCTCTTTTGTAAGTCGTTAGCTCACAGGATTGTTATAAGAATGAATGAGATAATGTCGATGAAAGTGCTCTGTAAGCTGTGAAAATAATGTCTCTAAGCCTCCTTTGTGTTTAGGATGTAACTTGTGCTGAATTATAACACCCACTGTTGTATTTTGTCAGTATACAGACTATGCATTCATAGAAAGACAAACTTAAGCAGTAGCTTTATTAAGACTCATTCCATATATATGTAATTTAGAAAAATAAATCTGACTTCATTTAGATGAGATCAATATAGTTCAGTATAGTACTGCCTATGGCATATCTAAAACTGCCTAAATATATCTAACAAATAATAGTTTTTTTAGTAAAGAAGCAAAACTTCACTTACTTTAAATGCTCATTTAGCCAGTTGCACTTATGGAATCTCTCTCTCTAGAGGTTGGCAAAAGAGCAAACGAAGCTTTAACGTAAGTCAATAGGACATTAAGTAGAGAAAAGCTGAGTTGCTTGTTGTGCTGTGATCTTGTGATAATTTCATTTTAGGTTTTTAAAGTATGCTTTCAGAATTTTATTGTTATGCTAAATGCAAAAATCAAGTCACTGTCGGTGGAGTACTTGGAATGGACCCGTATAATGAACATTTTGCTCCTTCTGAGGGAGGCAGGCCAGGATATCCATAAAATGGTGACATTTTGATCCTGACTAGAAGGAAACCATATTGAAAGGATGATGACTAGGAGGGAATTAGGGAAAAACAAACATAACTCATCTGCTGGAGGAGACATTCCTGGCAGTTATCGAACTTGACGAGATTCTTCAGTGAGTGTAGACAGCTGAGGTGTAGCCCATGGTGTGCACACGTGTCATTGGTAGCAGTGGTGGCAATGCCAGAGCAGGCAGACTGACACTGGGTTGCTGTCTTTGTCAGTTGGCATGTGAGGAAATGATGATGATGGACATGTTAGCGACCATTGAGTATTAACTATGTACTAGGAGTAATATTCTCAGTTAAAAACCTCACAGTATCCCTGAGGTAGATTTATATTTCTACTATGTTTATTTTATAGATACAGTGGACTCAGAGGTTAGATAACTTACATAAGGTCATACAAATAATAGTGGCCAAGTTTGCCACTTGAACCCAGGGTGCTGACTCCAGAGCCCATTTTATAACCACCATGTTATACTCAACTGACTCTCTCAACTCTTGATATTTGAGAGAACAGACTAAGAAGATATAGAGATATTTTAGTGATAAAGTGATTTCTTTATTGCTGATTGAGTAAAAGGGACTGGAATTACTCTCTTAAAACTAAGGTAGGTGATATATATAACAATAGTTTTCAGACATTAGACACATTAGCACAAGATACTAGACATTAGCACAAGACAGTGATCTTCCAGAGAAGAGAAACAAATGAGATTGCTGCAATTTACTGACTGGATTGAGCTCCAGGCTGCAGCACAGGAATATATATATAATATATTATTAATATGTTTTCAGATATATAACAGAGCCCAGCAATTGCTCTAAGTTAAGGAGACAGAGTTCAGAGTTTGGAGAGGCTAAGGCAACTAGATCACAAGGCAAGTTCTTGGGTAGGAGAGGACTGCATGGATAGACAGCTTCAGAGATCTGTAGAGTTTTTAGAAAGTGTGAGTGAGGAAACTATCTGAGACCAGGGAAGAGCACAGAAAAGAATCAGTTGAAATCATCCGGGAAACACAATCGTTTTTTTTTTTTTTTCTCCCACCACTCAAAGTGGAAAGATCTCTTGACATATAGGGTATCAGTTGGAGGCCATTGCCTCAGTGGTGGGACCAAATTAGCCTTAGACTAAAGGCTCTTCTGGTCTTACTTAACAAAGCTTAAGAGCACGCCATGGAAAGATCAAATGTATCCAAGTAACTTTATTGCATCCAGCTCGGAAATATTTAAAAGAGTATAAAAACTCCAGCCCCAGCAAAGTAAAATGTACCTTGTCTGGTGTCCAATAAAAAATTACCAGGCATTCAAAGAAGCAGGAAAATGTGACCCATAACGAGGACAAAAACAACATGTAGAAAAAGTCCCAGAAATGCCACAGATGACAGAAATACTAGAAAAAGACTGCTATGGACTGAATTTGTCCCCACTCCTCCCCTTCATGAGATTCATATGTTGAAACCCTAATCCCCAGTGTGATGGTATTTGCAGATGGGGCCTTTAGAAATTTGGTAATTAGTGTTGGATGATATCATGAGAGTTGGGCCTTTATGATAAAATTAGTGGCTTTATAAGAAGGGGAAAAGAGCAAGAGATTATCTCTCATCAGGCAAGGACACAGTGAGAAGATAGTCATGTACAAGCCAGGAAGAAGATCCTCTCCAGGAACCGAATTGGTTGGCACCTTGGTCTTGGGCTTCCAAACTGTGCAAAATAGATGTCTGTGTGTAAGCCATCTAATCTGCCTGAGCTATCTAAGAACATTAAAATAGTTATCATAAATTCTATTCCATATATTCAGTGAGTATGATAAAGAGAGACATGGGAGATATAAAATAGACCCACCTTAAATTTCTAGAGTTGAAAAATATGGCAGGGCACGGTGGCTCACGCGTGTAATCCTAGCACTCTGGGAGGCCCAGGAGGGCGATTGCTTGAGGTCAGGAGTTCGAAACCAGCCTGAGCAAGAGCGAGACCCTGTCTCTACTATAAATAGAAATAAATTAATTGGCCAACTAATATATAGAGAAAAAATTAGCTGGGCATGGTGGTGCATGCCTGTAGTCCCAGCTACTCGAGAGGCTGAGGCAGGAGGATTGCTTGAGCCCAGGAGTTTGAGGTTGCTGTGAGCTAGGCTGACACCACGGCACTCACTCTAGCCTGGGCAACAAAGCGAGACTCTGAAAAAAAAAAAAAAAAAAAAGAAAAAAAGAAAAATACTAGACTAAAAATAAACTGGGGGGATTAACAAAAAATTAGACCCTGTTGATAAAACAATTAGTAAACTTGAAGACGTAATTATCTAAAATGAAATAGGAACAAAAAGATAAAAAGAATTAGCAGAGCATCTGTGAGTAGTGGGACAACAGCAATAGCCTATATTATTTGTTGTTATAGTCACAAAAGGTGTGAAGGAACAGAAAAACTTCCTAAAAAATAATGACGTGGGGGGAGTAGAATTAAAAAATCTAAAGAAATAATAGTTGAAAAACATCCAAATTTGGTGAAGACTGTAAACATACAGATCCAAAAGTTCAATAAGGCTCTATTAGAAGGAAGGGAAGAAAACTACACCAAAGCACATCATAATCAAATTGCTTAACACCTTAAAAGCAGCCAGAGGTCAAAGACATCATGTGTAGAAGAACAAAGGTAGGAATGAGCAGAAGCCTTTTTGGGAACAATGCAAGTCAGAAGACAATGGAGTGGGACCTTTAAGGTGCTGAAAGAAAAAAACTTTCAAACTAGAGTTCTTGTAGCAAGTGAATTTTTTTTTTTAAAGAGATGAAATAAAGACTTTTTCAGACACACAAAAGCTGGCAGAGTTCCTCACCAGCTGACCACCATGCCAGGAGATGTTAAAGGAAGTCCTTAAGACAGAAAGAAAATGATAACGAATGGAAACCAGATCTACACAAAGGAATGGAAGGCACCAGAGAAGGCAAATATGAAAGTAAATACAAAAGACTTCTTGTTTTAAAAATGTCTTGCAGAGCCGGGCGTGGTGGCTCACGCCTGTAATCCTAGCACTCTGGGAGGCCGAGGCGGGCGGATTGCTCAAGGTCAGGAGTTCAAAACCAGCCTGAGCGAGACCCCGTCTCTACCATAAAAAAAAATAGAAAGAAATTAATTGACCAACTAATATATATAATATAAAAATCAGCCAGGCATGGTGGCTCGTGCCTGTAGTCCCAGCTACTCGGGAGGCTGAGGCAGCAGGATCGCTTGAGCCCAGGAGTTTGAGGTTGCTGTGAGCTAGGCTGACGCCACGGCACTCACTCTAGCCTAGGCAAGAAAGCGAGACTCTGTCTCAAAAAAAAAAAAAAAAAAAAAAAAAAAA